GTCTCAGGCTGCTAATAAAGTACGTGAATGCCTTGAGTCAAAGTAAGCAACTTGAAGAAATAGGGAGCTCCAAGTAACCTCTGCTTTGTTAATTAGTACCCCGTTCATAGAGGGCTTGAACATATACCCTTGAAATCAGTGAGAGTTTTGTTGTTAACTTAAATGGGAACTGGATCAATCCCAGAATGATGTAGTACAATACAGTACAATGACATGTAACCAATCTACACAGCTTTTGTGAGTGGTAACTAAATAATATTCATAAAGTGCTATGAACGTGTTAAAGAATGATTGCTTGAGACAGCACCACTAGATTTAGGGTAAAATTTTCCTGTGCACCTCAATGACATAGGAGTCTAAGTCCCATTTTCAAAAGTGACTTAAGCCCAGATTTTTAAAGGTATTTCAGTGTTTCTTTGCTCACTGTTTCAACATTTAACTGACTTGGGAGCAAAAGTCTTGTTTTCAGAAGTGAGGTAACAAAGAGCTTAAATCCCATTGACTTTCAGTGAAACTCAGGCTACTAAAGGGCAGCTTTTCAAAGGCATTTAGGCACCTGACAAAGAAGATTGGTGCCTAGTGGGGTTTTCAAAATGCTTGAGTGCCAGTTAACAGGTGCTTTTGAAAGTCCGAGTAGGCAATTATCTGCATGGAGGCTAAATACCTTAGAAAATCTAGCCCTTCGGAATTAAAACAAATCCCATTGACTGTCAGTGGGACTTAGGCTCAATAAATGCTTTTGAAAATGGGAGTTAAGCTCCTAAATCACTTTGGCTCTTTTGAAAATGTTACCCTTTGTGTGTCTCCATGAAACAAACACTGCACTCCAGGTCTTTATAAAAGTTCAGTGAGGTGATTGTGTCCCCACGTGTGAAATACATAGAATCAGAGAACTTTAAAGGGTTTGTCGAAAGCTACAGAAGGAACTGATATCAGGACTGGGGTGGGAGCTCAGGAGTTTCCAGCTCGCAGCCTACTGATGATACCAGTAAATCTCAGCTTTGTTAAGTGCCTTCATCTAACCTTAAGGCTTCACAGTAAACAAAAAAAAAAATCCAGCAATTGCCGTGCCAAAATAAAATCTTAAATCATCAGTCATGCTTGGAGATCCCTATCATAACAGTGTCCTTTGAGCAGTCAAAAGTTAAAAGGCCATTTGAGCAGGAAATGGGCTAAAAAAACCCATCATAACTTATAATATATTATAAAATATGTATCTTTCCTATCCTATGGCTTGATCTTGCACGCACTGAAGCCAATGGGAGATTTGCCATTGACTTTAATGGGAGCAGGATGAAGTCAAAATGCCAATAAATTCATTTGTTTAGGAATTGCACGCTTCTAATGTTAATTGACTAAAACGAAGCTTGCTTTTTATAGTAGCCTCTACACACAGCTCTCTTGAAATATGAAATCTAATCAATCTGGTTTTTATATCTCTAGACAGACTATGATTAGTAGACTTGGCAGGGTCAGAAACTAAGCTTGTCAGTCTGGTTAAAAGTACTTGTGGTTTGTGTTACTTATTGCCATGGATGACAGGGCACTAATGGTGCATTGTGTTTTTTTATGAATAGGAAATAAAACTAATCTAAATATCTAATGCATAGGTAGACTCTAAAGACAGTCCTTTGTTGTAAATTCTGCAGTGGATTTTTTCTTCATTGCCTCAGGTCACTTGAACAGTCTTTTTCAAATCCATAAAAACAGACTTGAAGCCTTGCTGTCATGTCTGACTCCATTCAAAAGATTAGCCAGAGATGCTAACTCAATACCTATTGTAGGTACCCAGTAGGCAAGGGAGAGAGAATGGAATCTTCTCTCACTAGTTATGCTCATCAAAAAGAAGCTTTAAGGAGCATGTTGTTGAACTTAATTACTAGAACTACCCCCAGACAGATATCAAGCATCCTCGCAAGCTGTAGATAAGGTTCATTTGGTAACGTTTCTTTCTATACCAGCTGTTAGATGAAGGTACTTTTAGCATCCCGGGGCCTATGCATTCTTCAGAATTGTGCGTCTTTAAACTGTTACTTCACTGATTCCCAAAATTTCCTAACTGAAAAACTGACAGAAATTTGACCATTTCATTGGTTACTGCCTTACAAATTCTATCGACAGCTGAGCATTAGCAATGAATTAATTTTGACACGTTTTTGAAATGTTAAATACACAAGTCTTTGCACCTGATATGCCCAAGATTCTCCGACTCAGAGAACTGGAACATTTTCATCTACTGATTTTCAAGCCAGCGACCGCCAATATCTTATGTCCCTTATTTGAGAGATGATTGCAAACATTCTGTTGATTCAACTCAGTATAATGAAATGTGGGGCAGTCTGTGTTTGATCTCCTCTGTATTGTCAAGATGTGACTAGAAAAACCAGTGAGCATGAGTAAGAGAATCTTGATCCTGCTCTTCTCCATACCAAACTGATAGCCCAACCCTTATGATTGACAGTATTGTTTGTTATAGGGCATGCAGTACTATATATAATAAAGTACTAAGGGACAAACCTTGGTCTTGTTTCTCTTTGGAGCACTGTGACGAGAGCTGCAATGGCCTAGTGATGGTGCTCTTATGCATTCTGGATGCTCAGGGAAGATACAAGCAGCATTCCTGTATACCAGTACTTTTGCTTTCTGGAAAAAGGTGCAGTGTGCACTTCTGTGATTAAGAACAGCCATTGAACATTGCCAAATCTCCTAGTTTACACCCCTTTGGGAGTGTTAGTGTCAGGAATCTGGCAATGGGTACTGTACACTGTACGGTTTTACACAGACTCTGTTTAGATTGCTTCATCTAAATTACTGTATATGCAGTTTCCTGTTGGCAGATAATATATTCTTCCCTTTATAGAAGAAATTTCCCTTTTCACATTACAACTTTCTATCCTCCTGAGAATGTGGGGGAGAAAGGGAATTCTTGTTCTGGGACACATTATATTGTACCATCATCTGCTATTATCCTTCAATCTTCTGGTCTGTTCTTTTCACCTCCTCGCGTTTTCCTATGTTCTGTGTCCTTTAGTAAATGGTAAGAGAAGATGCTGTTTCTTCCAAATGAGCATCCCTTCTTGCTCTTCCCTGAGCTCTCTGCAACCCCAACTGCAAGTGCTACTTCAGACTTTGAAACATAACCAGTAAAAATAGAATTTCACATCCCCTCCATAGAAATACTCTCTCAAATCTGGCGAGAAGGGGGCTTAGTTCTTTGCTATGCTGCAGGAACTAAATCTTAGGTGTAAGATCAAGCCTTAAAAACCTTTTCCTTTTCCCCACTGTAAGAAAACATGATCTGTAAACTGGGGGTGTTACCTTTGGCAGTGTAACAGACTCGTGGTGCTTGTTATGTGGCTTTCTGATAAGGCTATTGAAGCTATACTCACAATTGCTGAAGTCATAAACACTACAAAGACTCTTATCTCCACAGGTTGGTAATGGGATATGGAACCTTTCACTTCTAGGCTGCTGGAGTGAATCTGACATAGGTTACCAGAGAATGAAAGTTTTGACCTTTTTCAGTGGCTTACCTAAAAGTTAGTGGTCTTGGTCCAGTTCCTAATGGACACATACACACACACACACACACACCCCAACCATTGATTTCAATGGTAGTTAAGCACCTAACCTGCTTAGGTGCTTTCAAAAATCCCTGTAGGTGTCTATCTGCATCTATAGATGCCTGAATACCTTTGAATATCTGGTCCATCACAATTAAAATTGGGAATTTCAGTTGAAAGACCAAAGATTTAATGGACCTAATATCTTTACAATTATTTTTGCAGTTTTTGATTAATCACCTCTTTAAGTCAGGACTGAGGTACATTGGTTGAACAATCCAGATGAATGGTATCCATGGTTCACCTATTGTCTCCATTCAAAAGTCACTATTTGCCAACAATTTTCACACAGTGTGGTGTATGAAATACCACAGTATTTCTTTATATTCAAAAATAGGAGATATCTGTGGAAATTGTATGGTAATGGTGAGCAAATATATAATTTTAAATGGCTTTCATTTGTTGTAAGTAGAGGACTTAAGACTTCAGTTCTGTAATTCTGTTACCCTGGCAACTTTCACAAGCATTAAATTGAAATGTATTTAAATAGTAACAGTAAGAATAGTACACTGAATAAAAACAAACTTAAAAACACTTATGAATTATTTTAAAATATTTAAACATACCAGAGTAGATAGTTTAAAAAATGGTTAATGGGTAATATTAAGGTTTGTAGAATTGAGCAATGATCGCAACATGACTGAAAATCAATTAACTTGTTTGAAATTGTAATATAATTAGTAGTTCTGCCAATCAGTACACAAATGCTTCCTGCAAGAAACTGTCAATTTTTGGATATCTTCCAACTAAATAAATAATTTATACATATCCTACTTGCTCAGAATCATATGTAGTAAATATTTAAGCTATTTTATTGTTATGCATTTTTAATCATTAAAAATATTGAATAGCTGGGTGCCTTTTGTTGAATAAGTGCAGGCAGAGAATCCAGTTCTGCTCCCACCAATTTCAGTGCAATGTTTCCAGTTTATATTAGAGAGCAAGATCGTTAGGCCCTGAGCCAGCAAAGCATTTAAGCACATGCTTAACTTTAAGCACATGAGTAATCCCCTTATGTCCCAATCCGACTCCCATTGAAGCTGATGGGAGTCTTTCCAATAACTTCAGTCGGAGTTGGTTTAAGGCCTTAATGAACAAAATCAAAGGTGATTTGACTACAAAATCAGATACAAGGATAACCTCCTGAATTTAATTTTGGAGCATTTTGTTTTGATTCAGTCAACGGAATACAGTAATGATTTTTCTACACTGTAACCTTAACTCTAGTTTACAATGGAAAAGAGAGTGTTGTTTATTTCACAATCCTTTGGATCAGGCTTTTTATACAACAGAGATCGAAGTCAGTGGATTACAAAGCACAAAGAGAGATGACAATTGACCAGTTAGTTTTAAGTCACCAATTTCTTATTTCCACAGTGCCACCAGTGATTCGTGTATATCCTGAAACTCAGGCACAGGAACCTGGCGTATCCGCAAGTCTCAAATGTCACGCTGAAGGCATTCCTAATCCCAGAATTACCTGGCTAAAAAATGGCATTGATATCATGCCAAAATTATCCAAACAACTAACACTCTTAGGTAAGGACAGAATTCTGGGAAATTTATGTACTGTTTAAAAAAAGGAGTTAAATGGTTTATGTTGCACCTAAAAATAGATGTTTTTCTTTTGCTTTCACAAAAGTATGAAAATTATGTTCCATGACCTCTGTTCTTTTTTTCTATCTCTTTCTCCAGTGATTTTTCCATAAAGTACAATGTTGCTTGGTATTAATGATAACAGCATTCCATTAAAACACCATGTACCTGATACTCCACTGTTTTGCTCATGGTTTAAATCAGGAACAATCAGAAAGGCAATATAGTACATTCATTTTGTATAGATGTCAATGACTATACGAGATGAAAATCTACTGAGAATACTGACTCATGTGTCTCCCTTTTCAGATTAACATCTGCAAATGAAATTATTTCTCATTGCTAATTTTAGACCCTCATTTCCAAAAGCTAACAGAGGGCAGGATCATGTGTAAATTGTACTTGCAATACAAATATAAGGAAACGAGACCTCACCTAGCACAGTTAAAAGGGTTTTTTTTTAATGATAGTGCATTATAGGAGAACAACACAATAGGTGGGATTGTGTAGAAAACATTAACATCCTCTACTAAAATGGTGAAAAATCAGGTTTTCATTGATTTGATGAAAAAAATTGTGTAGTATTTGTATGATTTTGTGCCAAAAAAAGGCAATTTTACAAATTTTTACTCGAGGCAAATAAGTGAGATGTTGTATTCTGTTTGGATGTGGAATTTCACTTTATTTCTTTGTGGGAAGTCTGTATTTGACACTAGGAAAAGAAAACACTTTCATCCTCTAGCAATACGCAAATTCCTCAAAATCTCAGTTTAAACATGGAAAATATTCAGAGATAAAAACTTTGCAAGCCTATAACAAGCCTCTTTAGGAAGCTAAGGCATTTGAACAGCTATGTTACAGCAGTGAGGAACAGTTTATGGATGTCTTTGTTGCAGCAAATGGAAGTGAACTTCATATCAGTAGTGTTCGATATGAAGACACCGGTGCCTACACATGCATTGCTAAAAATGAAGTGGGAGTGGATGAGGACATATCTTCTCTCTTCATCGAAGATTCAGCCAGAAAGACTCGTAAGCTTAATTTTTCCTTTATCTTTTTAGGAACCCACTATTTATTTTGGTTCTAATGCTATGTGGTTTAGTCTGAAGTTACCACTTGCCCTCTTTGGTTTTAATCACTGTGTATGGTGCGGGCGGGAGAGAGAGAGAGAAGAGGGCAGCCAGGGCTACAGCAGGGGCGCTGCCACGCGGCCCCTCCTGCCGCGCCGCCTCCTGCCGCTTGCCGCGAGGGCTCCGCTCCGGTCGGCGGAGAGGGAAGGAAGAGGACGGCCGGAGCGGAACAAAAAAAGCGGCCGTGCCGCCCTAGGATCGGGCAGAATGCTGCCTCGAACAATCCGCCGCCCCAAGCACCAGCTTGCTCAGCTGGTGCCTGGAGCCGGCCCTGGTGATTACAGAACTGGGCTCTAGTTTGAGAAGATATCACATGAAGTATGATAGAAGACTCGAGGGTCTTTTGTGTGTTAGGGTTGTGTTGAGATATGGGCATAGATAGCTTTTCTACATTGCTAATATTTTTGGATGTAAAATAATACAACCCAGAGATTTCTTCTAATGACTGCCTGATTTTAAAAATGAAATTTCATTGTTCTGTTTGTACAGACTTTTCCTTTTTCAAGACAAATAATACTCAAAATAGCCAAATACTGGATGCCTAGAATAGTGATCTGTGAAACTATTTTAACTTTAAGGGATGTCATCAGTTCAGATTGCTTGAATTTTTTAGTGTACCTGTATCACATTGAAAAGACTCAAAACAGTTTTAAAAATATTAAAATTATTTTCCATAACAAAGACAAATATTTTGCCATCCAAATCTTAGCCACTGTCTTCTGAAGAGTTGATTGGTTGCCACTTTGGAGTAACTTTCCAGAGTGCTTCTGCATATGATGCTTCTAAAGGTTCTGCAGATGGTACATGCGTGGGTTGATATTTTAGGGCTATGTGTAAACAGGATACTGCTGCTTAGGTCACCTCCCAAAAATACACCACTTTCTGAATTAGATGTTAACAATAGATACACACAGTCATGGCAATACTTGGTTCATTAAATAGAATTGTGTATTCTTGCAAATATCTGTCACTTTCACTTGAACCCTCGGGCAAGGGAAATTATACTATGGTGAGAAATAATTTGAAATATTACAAACCAAAATTCAAGTAATATACCTAAGGATGTTGTTTGAATCCTAAATGAAAATATAGTATTGTTGCGTAACATTTCCAGAGGAAATACTGGAAACCATTTAGTTGGTATAACTGTCTGTTATAGGCTTCAGAAAGATATTATATTTGCTTAATGAAAATGTATGGGAAATCGCTGTCTGTACTGTACAATTACATTCAGGAGAATATTCTGTACCTCAAGGCTCGATCCTGCAGTCTTGGTACAGGCAAAACTCTCATTCATTGTAATGGGAATTTTACCAGTGCAAGGACTGCAGGACTCTCCCACAAGGAGAAGTTTGACTTTGGAAATGTCTTTTTTTCCTGATGTTTTATTCAAATTAAATACTTTGCCTGGATGAATGCTATGAAGTTTTTACAAATTAAGCAATTCACTTAAAATCACAGTGTTAATTCAGTTAACTGCTACAATGAAAATTTTGACATTGTATGTTTTTTTCTTTTCTTGATTATTTTCTGGCTTTCCCAATTTTCTGATGCTGCAGTTGCAAACATACTGTGGCGAGAGGAAGGTACTGCAGTAAAGTTGTTTTGTTGTAGTGATAATGTGCTTGTCTGCTTCAATAATTCCATAATGGGCCATTCTCCACTGACTTGCCACTAACTTTATCAGCTCTCACGGCTTTCAGATTAAATATCAGACCAGCAGTCCAAAAGCCACCCTTCACATAATAGATGTCACTTTCGTGATGTAAATCCTGTACATATTCCCTTAGATTTTTTTTCTATCAAATTATAGATGATCATGATATATTTGAAATTGTTGATTTGGCACAAACAATCACTAATGCAATTTAATGTCAGATTCTTAGCAAATATCAAGAGCTTAACAGAATTTCCAGAACAACTATGATCTCAATTTACTGCAAATGAACAAATGTAGATATAAATATAAGTTCCATTTTTAAACATGTGGATCATGCTGTCCTTTGCCTGTTCTTTAAGAGTATGTACAAATGTTTATTATGTAAACCACACACACACTGCTTGTGTTCATATGTGTTGGGTGAAACAATAGTTATTGCTCCCTCCAATCCTTTAAATAGATGTGGGGCACAGGATGCCTCATTTCTTCTTGTTTTAATTGGCAATTAAGAACTCTAATCCGATCAGATTTATAGTGTGTCCTGCACAAGGTCAAAATTTCTGTAACGTGAAGGCTAAATTAGAGAAAAAGCATCCTAAGTAGCTAATGGACTCAAACTCCATCAGGAGACACTTGTGGCCAACATTTGATTTGATTTTGTGTGTGCATATACTGTAATTATGTGCAAAAATGGGTATTAAGATATCTAGATTTGCACATGCAATGGCAGTAAATGAATATGCAAAAATATCTAAACAGTTGTGCTCCAATTGGATATTTTACAGTTTATCCACTTGCATATGTACAAGCATATATTATCCAACTGCATGCACAAATGTGGACATTTGGGCACTTTTGGGGTCTTGCATGTGTGCCTCCAAGCCACTGGAAAAATTGGCCCCTGGATTGTAAAACACCCACTAAAAAGATATGACTGTTTTGGGTGTTTTTTTTAAAGTCCAGTCACAAGCTGGTGTTGGATTGGGTGCAGGCTTAACTTGTGCATCTTCCACACCTACTAGCATTATGGATCAAGTCTTCACCAGTGAATAAATAGTTCTTGAGCAATTTCCTTAATGTATCTGGCACAAGCATCCTTTCCTTCTGCCATCAGGCAAAGCATATATTTCCATCCTACTAGTTGAGAGTACAAGGACCATTTCACACCCGGTCCTCTACACTATGCAATGAGAGGCTCTTATTGCATCACTTGGCTTAGGGCTATTCGTTTTGCTTTGGCTTTGCCCTGAGGATTTTAGAGGCATAAGGAAAGTGACAGTTTTCAGTGACCTGTAGTTCTTCATCTTGGCATATGAACACCCAGAGTGTATCCACTGTCCCATTCTCTGCAGTAGTGCTGATGGCATATGTGTAAAAGCAGCAGGTTTTGGGTCATTACAAGTGGCAGGATCACTGACTTGAGCAGATTGTCCTGAGACAGTTCTTCCCTATTCCCAACTCAGCACCAGCTACTGTGTAATACACAATGATGGAGATTGTTTCTCCACTGCTGAGCTTCATGTAAATTGCACTGTGGGCATTTAGATTTGCTCCATTCCAGTGTATAGTTTGCTCAGATCGGAAATTGCTGTTGAATTAAATCAGTCAAGCGTCACCTATGTAATGGTGCATGGTTGCTTATGTACTGTGTATCCCATGTTCTACCTTAAAGATCCTCAAGGGGTGGGGTGAGAAAATTTTACATGGAATAAGCAGACAGAAAAGGAACTAAAGGAATATGTAAAGTTGAATAATAGTTCTACTAAATATAGTGTAGTTACTGTAAACTGACCAGAATCAAACCTGCACATTTCTAAATTAAATTAAATTCTGAACATTTAGAGGGAGAAACAGTGCTAGTGAGAGTAGATTTATTATCAATGTTCCTGAAATAACTGTGTGTTTAGAATATGATTATATAAATCTTTGCCTACATATTAGAAATTAAGTTGTAAAATATTTGATCTGCAAATTCATTCTAGAGAAAGGAGCCAATTTAGTATGAGAAAACTTGGCAAAGAGAAAAGGCTGGATGAGAGAGCGCTTTTTGTTTTGTTTGTTTGTTTACATTTTATTTTACTTATTTTTCCTTGCTGTTAAAATTAAAGCTGGTGATTTAATAAACATTATTAACCAAAAGGATGAGTACAGCTGAATCCATTAAGGTGATCAAATTCTCATGTTGTCATATTACAATAAATTAGATATTGTAGTAAACTAATGATGTGAGTTAATTGCTGTATGTTGTGCTGCATGAAGCAAGCTTTTTTGCTTTAAATCAGAGTTTAAATAATTGCAGTTGATCATTGAAAGAGGGCTATATTTTCAAAAGTTTTCATATACACAACTATAACCCAGGAAATGAACGCACATAGCATGCTCGGCCAGTTTCACATAGAATTGAAAGTATATGCAATAATTAATGCTTTTATGTGCATGTATCTTGTACAGTGAAAATAGTGGATAGAAGAGTGGGTGGCTCAGATACAGAATTACTCGTCACACTATTTTCAAAGCTGGAATAGTTTTCATTATGTCTGGGCCAAGGGAGGACAGGGAGAGCACGCAAATAAATAATCATCAGAATTATATATGTATATAAATTTAAACATGAAAGCCTTGTATTACCAGTTTTAGCTATTTAAATCCTTCAATCGATTTGGATTAGAATGAGGAAAACCATTACATGGATTGCCCTAGTGATACCGATTGGACCATGACTGTGTGTAAGCCAGTCAAGATTGAGGTGCATGTTTTTGATATGACAGTCAAACTCCAAGGGTTAACTAGTGAAAAGTAACTTTTGTGTTTAAAAGATGGATTGAAAATTGCCGACCATAAGAGCATTTTAATTTAATACCCTGTAAACCCCGAAAAGAGTGTTATCTTCAACAAACATCTTAATGTTTTAAATAGTGCCTGGTCCTGCTTCCATTGAAGTTAGACACAAAATTCACACTGACTTTAGTGGAAGTAGATTCAGGACCATCATGTTAAAATATTGCCAGGTAACTGAAGTAAATTTGAAGAGTAACTCCAAATCTGCACAGAACTGAAGGCATTATCAAGCAGTGTTTTTGCTATTAGGGGCTACTAAAAGCTGAAAAGTGCATTCATATTCTTAACCAAATTATCAAATAAAATAACACGAATAATGTGCATGCAGATAATAACAGGCATCTATCACAATTGTCGTAATTTATTGCATGACTGTTTTCACTTTTTTAAATGAAACTTTTATTTTACAATATGCAAATTCATTCACTCATTGCACAAAGGGCCAAATTCTGCTCTCCGATACATACACTCAGTTCCCATTGAAATAAGAGGGAGTTATGTGCATGCAGTGAGGGTGGATTTTGGTTACAATGCCTGGGCAAAATGACCTGGTAATGTACTTCTGGAAAATTAGCCCTTAGCACCTACCAATCTACTTAGTCCTTAGGTAGATCCTGAGTGGAAATTCAATATTTATGCTTTTTTCAGAATGCATGATCCCTCACTGTGGCATCACCTTTAAGGATCACAGCTCCTGTATCCGCTTGATGCCTTAACTGGGGTATTTCTGTGGTATGGTTCAGAGGCTAATCTTAAAGCATCCGATTCTCAGTGCAGCGACAAACATAGCCAAAGCTAAAAAGTCTCTCTACATGCAGTTGTACTCTGAAGCCAGATATTTGACACCAAGATCGTTTAGATTTAAGAAACACCCTCCCATGCTGAAATGTCATTTAAATAAATACAGCAAATATTTTATGAAATTTGCTAAAACTGTTAGTCCCAATCATATGTAGTTCTTACTGTAAAAATCTCCTATGATGATTCAGGCGCCAATCCTGGAAGCACTTAACGCATGTGGAGTAACGCTTTAGATGTGAGTCTTCCTAATAGGATTTATAGATGGTAATCTAAGGAGAACTAGTCCCAATAGTGTGGAGTTGATCATGTTTCTAAGTGTTTGCAGGATCAGGACCTTATTTTCTATGGAGCAAATTTTATTAAAAACAAAATTCTATATCACCAGTGCCATGGAAGTTTGGCAGATAAGTACACTATCAACATTATCTGAGATAACAAAGGCCATCGGAAGAATTTATTTAGCAGGTGGTATAAAAATTTAAAGAGTGTTGGGATCTTTCTGAGTATAGTGTTTGAAAAGATTCCCTAACCCATTTATAAGATATAATTTACTGCATTTGCATGTAGCTGAAGAAGAATCAAACTATCAATGTTGTAGGGCATTTCTGCTCAACAGAAATGTGAAATTATAATCTTACAACAGAAATTCACTGAGAAGCAGCCAGTTTTTCAAAAGCTCCTGGAATGCCCCAGTTTTGATAGCTATTGCTATTGCAATGCTGAAATATTCCACATTTGTGAATTACAGTTTGCAAAATTTCAAAAATGTATTTGTTTTGGTGGCTATTTTTGGTTCATGCAGATGGTTTTAGACTACAGGATGGATGGATTTTTTTAAATGTATTCATGAAATAAGCAATGCTTTTATTCATCTTTACAATTTGCAAATTGCAAAAGGTCAAATTAATTGTAACTGTGTGACTTTGAGGGGTTATTTTGTTTGTGTGTTTTTAACTGACAGTTCCTTCTCAGTTGCCTAACAGTTAGCAAGCTATTTCCAGTGTAAATGGGAAAAGAAAAAAGTCATGATTTGGCAAGGTTAGAATGTCACACACATTCAAATTCTGAGACAGATATAATCATGGAAGACCTCAAGATATTTCCCTATCTTTGTTACTGCCGCCACCAAAGCAATGTGTTTTTGAATGTGTCTGTACCTCCTTCCTCACACCTTGAAGCCCTCGTTATGACATGAAGTTTGATTTTGTGAATGCACCAACTGCATCCAAATTACCAGTTTTTATGTAAAGTGATTTTTTGTTGTTCTTCCAAAAATAAAAAGTGTGAATGCTATGAATGTGGTTTTGTTGTTTTAAATTCTGCTTCTTTCGCTTTGTTTTTTTTTCTTAAAGGCCTAAGTGTGGGAAATATGTTTTATGTCTTTTCCAATGATGGGATCACAATCATTCAGCCAAACGAATGTGAGATCCGAAGACATATCAAACCCAGTGAGAAGATTTTTACAAGTTATGTAAGTTTTTGTTTTGTTTTGATTTTTTGTAATAACGTATCCAAGTCATCTGTCAGCTTGTGCTCCCTAGATTTTGTGAAGAGGCTATACAGTAAGAGGGAAAAGTTACATTAACAAAGTGTCCAGTTGAGGATGTGCAAGGCGGGGATTTGTGGCCATGCAAAAGGTGAAGGAAGTTTAGCCTTGGAATCACAGTGTGTCTTGGGCCTGGCTTGCCAGTATCCAACACCTTGCGTAGTCATTTCCAACTGTGCCAAGTGGATATAAAATGCTACCAAATCAGAACTGGGCCACAAAGCAACTAGGTCTCCCCAGCTGAGGGCTGCCCCATTGTGGCCCCTGCTAATGTAATACTGGTGTAAATGGCTTTTATGCCCCCTCCCCCATTCTACAGCCTCCGGGTGCAGGTGGTGAGGGAGTGTTGGTGGCAGGACAGGGCATGCAACTGGAATAGTACTGTGTTCTGTGTATTCTTAGCTGGCAGATGACCACTTGAGATATGGCTCAGGAATCAGGGATCCACAACCAGCTATTTTGCAATCCCTGTCACAGCTGCACCCAGGAAATACTGAGCTTTGGGCCTAAATCTATGCAAGGGTTGGTACTTCCACAGTGCTTGTTCAATACAGTTCTTCTTCAAGGCCCTATGGGTGCTCCACTTCAGGTCCACGTGCATCTGTGCAGCCCTTGTTCAGAGATGTTCAGTTAGCAGTGTCTGTTCAGCCCACACATGCGCCTTATGCCTCCTCACGCCAATTGCCGAAGTTATATAGGGGTGCGCAGGTGAACCACCATCAGTTCCTTCTCAGCCACCTCAGCCTGAGATAGAACTCTACCATGTCTACCTGGAGCATGCCTTGGCTTTTGTAATATTTCTGTAGTTGTTAGATAGTTTTTATAGTTAGTTAGATAAATAGTGAAAGGATTGTTTTACTCCTTTTCTTCTTGGGAAGACTTATTTTTTCCTGGTAGGGCATGTCTGGCTTGCCAGGTTTCACACTTTGTCTCTCCTGCAAGAGACTATACCTGTGAGTGACAGCCACACTTAAGTGTGTTCATTCCTTGCAGGAGTCCCACATCTCCCAGAAGTGCAACTTCTGCCTGGCCTTCAAATCCAGGGGAAGGAAAAACAGGGAGATTAAACTCAGACTGCTAACGAGGAAATTCCAGGGGTGGTTTAGAACAATTTATTGTCCAGTCAGAAACACCTTGGACACATAGGTGACAGTTCCTCTACAAGTGAGGAACTCCTTAGACTGGTGGAAGAACCAACTCAACATCTGTGCAGATGTTCCTTTCTGCCAGCCAGCCCCATCAGTAACTTTAATGATGCATCACCTCAGTACCTGCACAAATCAAGGCAGTCTCCACATCAGTCTGTTGGCAATCAGGGCTGTCAGGGCTTGCCTTCATTTCCTACCCTCATAAGGGGCAAATCAATCAGGGTCATGACGAACAACGTATCCTGCACATTCTATATCAGCAAACAGGGAGCAGGAAGATCTCCCTCTCTTGGCCCTGAAGTCATGAAGCTATGGAACTGGTTCATAGCTCATCAGATCCGAATCTCAGTGATCTATCTCTGAGGGATTCAGAACACCACAGCCAATGTCCTCAGCAGACATGTCTCGCAGGTCTACAAATGGGAGCTAGACACCCAAGTTCTCCCCAGCATATTCCTAAAATGAAGACTTCCAGAGATGGATTGCTTCACTACCTCCAGGAACAGGCAGTGTCCTCTTTTCTGCTCAAGAGAGGGTCTGAGCCACCACTCCTTGGGCGATGCCTTTCTTATATCTTGGAAGAACTATCTGGTCTATGTGTTTCCTCCAATGTTACTGATATTAACGGTGATAAACAATATCAGGCAGGACAGAGCCAGAGTTATTCTAATAGTGCTGACCTGACTAAGACAAGCTTGGTACCTTTACCTGTTCACCCGTGTGTCCAGCTGTCATTCAAGCTCAGAACCAATCCTCATCTGCTGTCACAGGATGCAGGTCATGTGTTTCTTCCCAACCTAGTGGTTCTCTGCCTCAGGTCATGGCTCATGGGGTTAGAATCTTCCTGCTCTATGGAAGTACAACAGGTATTACTGAACAGTAGAAAGAGGTCAACCTGCACTACTTACCTGCAGAAATGAAATAGATTCTTCCATTGGTGATGGTGTTGCTGCCTTTCAGTCATCCTGGATTATCTGTTGGCTCTAAAGAAATTTGGGTTATCAACTAGTTCAGTTAAGGTCCTTCTGGCTGCAATATCAGCCTTTCATCTTCTAGTAGAAAGATTCTCCATATTTCCTCATCTGGTATCATGTAGGTTTATTAAGAGTCTGGGGAATGTCTGGTCTGCAACCAGATTGCAGGCAACATCTACGGCATTACTGAAGACTACCAATATCTGAAAAATGTTGGGCCACTACCATGGGCTTCAGTACTTATGTTTTTGAAACGTTATGTCCTGATCCATGCTGTCAGATCTGATGCAGCACTTGGTTCTGCAGTACTATCTTCAGTTCTGGACTCTATTCCGAAGCTCCCTTCTCCATCTAGGGATGCTGCTTAGAAGTCCACCTGAAGTGGAGCACCCATAGGGACACTACTGGAAGAAGAAAAAGAGGTTATTCACTTTGTGCAGTAACTGCAATTCTTTGAGATGTGTATTCATGGGTGCGCCACTACCTTCCCTCCTTTCCCTCTGCTTCAGACTGTTCCTTAGGGAATGTTTGGGTGGATAAGGAACTGAGGAAGGTTCATACACACACTCCTATAGCCTCGATATCTGGCACAAGGATGCATAGGACACATGCACAGGCCCAACGGACATAGCAAACTGAAAATCTCTGATCAAGGGGAACACACACCTGAAGTGGGGCACGAAGAGGGGGACACATCTCTAAGAACCGCCGTTACTGCACAAAGTGAGTAACCTCTTCTTCTGCAGGGTAGATATGCAATTGGTCTTCACTTCAGATCTGATCCCTTCTGGCAATCCCTATGCTTCTAAGGCTGATTTTAAAAATAAAAACAATGCATATTCTGATCCTGACATGGGGGTTATTAATACAGAGTGTTTGACTATAGTTACCTTATTCACATGCATGTAAGCTTTTCATGCAATGGCTCCCCAAGTCAGAATTGAGATACAGTGGCAACATGTGGGGGATAGTGATGTGGAGAAATTTACACCTCTACTGAACATTCTGTGTAAGTTCCATTGAAAATAAGGACAACTTGGGACCCCTATTTGTCTATTTGAAATGTTCTACAAACACTGGGATTTTTTTAAATCCAATATTATATGAATTCAAAGAAAACTGGTAAAGGAAAATTCTGTCCCAGTGGCAGTGAACTTTTAGTATTGGATCACACATCACGGCAAGTGCTATAGCAAGATATCACATGCCTTTAAGGCCTTGAATTAAGTTTTTTCAATATTCATGTCATGCTATTGCACAATAAGGCATCACTTGTATAATCATATTGAACTATAAAATATCTTCAAATATAGGTACTGAAATATGGCCAGAAATGTTCCATTTGTCATTTGTTTATTTACCATATTGAAGAAAGGGCATCATTGTGTTAAATAAGTACCTTTTAAATATAAATAACTCTCAGATTAATAAGCAACAGAGGGTCCTGTGGCACCTTTAAGACTAACAGAAGTATTGGGAGCATAAGCTTTCGTGGGTAAGAACCTCACTTCTTCAGATGCAAGTGCTGTTGCTTTTTACAGATTCAGACTAACACGGCTACCCCTCTGATACTCTCAGATTAATATTTTTCCTTCATTTGAGCCTTTTAATATATCATCTTATAAATCGACACTATGATCCTCACCCTTGAGCACCCTGTGTGGACATATTATTAAACCTTATTACAGCCGTTACAACTCAAAGACAGACTTCTGGGTTTCTTTTCTGAAGAGCTGTAAATATTGGAAAGGTGGTACTGGAAATTCAGCTTGAAAAGAACAAAGAAAGAAGGGCACTTAAAGAAAACCAGTGGAGGGTTTAAAAGGAACTTTTAGCAGTGCTATATGTCTGATCTCTAGAGAAAACCGCTAAAGACCTGATCCGCCTCCCAGTGAAGTCTTGGGGCCCTTTGCCATTGGCTTCAATGAGCGCAGGAGTAGACCCTGGTTCAGATAGTTCTAAATAAATTAGATTTACATTACATGGCTAATGTTAAAAATAATACAAAGAAAAAAGTAAACAGTGATACGGTTGTACAAAGAAGGCAACCTTTGGTGAGTTTACAACAGAAGCAGCTTCATTTGCTATCTGATTGGCATAAAAGACGACTTAGTGTGGGCAAGGCTGAATGTGTTAAATTTGAAGTGAGTGCTGCATTAGACTCAGAGGGCATTAGTCTGGTCCCTGCTCCAGCTCAGTTATACCATTATGGTAGCACAAAGTTGCTGGGCCTGTAGACAGGTTTAAGTTAAATGTGCTCTGAGCTGCTCCAACTTAGAAGTCGTCTACACGGGAAGTTAGTGCACAGTAAGCTAGGGTATGAATTTAAAGTGCACTAAGAACTTCACACTAGTTCCCCATGTGGACACCCACTGTGCACTAAAAGTGCCCTCCTGGAGGTTAGTTTAATACAAATTGCACTAAGCTGATGCCCACAAAGGCATTCTTAGCACATAGTAAGTGTCCGCCCAGGGAGTTAGTGTAGAGTAGCTAATGTGCACCAGGTGCTGTGGGGGTTTTCTCTGTGTAGACAAGCCTTTACACCAGAAACCAGACTGGACTCTGGCTGCCTCCAGGATCTGTGGGAGGCATCAAGCAGAACTCAGCCACACTAGACAATCTGGCCCATTATCTTCAAAACTTAGGCCTGGTCTACAGACTGATTTTGGACTGGACCAGTGTAACTATGTGTGCTAGGGGTGTGATTCTTTTACTATATTGATACAATCCCTAGTGTGGATGAAGTTGTACCAATAGAAAAGTGCTTATAGCTTATTCGTTCCCCTTCTTGTACAGAAATAAGCCATAACAGCCTCCACAGCAGGGATATCACGTTCACTGTGCTGGGAGAGCTAAAGTGGTACAACTTTTATGTAGAGACAAGGCCTAAGAGCCGCAGCTGCATGCATTTATTTCCCCCCCACGCCCTGTATCTGCTCCACAACTATGCATTCAAATAAAGTAGCCAATAAGAAACAAAAGGAATTAATGGCTAGTTAGCAGGTGAACTTTTGCAAGTTCACCCATTAGGATGACCCATAATGAAGGCTAAGATTTAGTCATGGGTATTTTTAGTCAAAGTCATGGACAGGTCACGGGCAATCAACAAAAATTCAGGCCCCATGACCTGTCCATGACTTGTTCTATCTACCCCTGACTAAATCTTGGGTGATCTGGGAGGCTCTGGGGGCACAGCTCCTGCTCTAGAGGTGGGGATTTGGTGAACCCACTGGTGTTTGTGTGGTGGGGGGGGAGGCTGCTGGTGCGGGGCGGCCCAGGACCACCGCTGCTGCTACTGGTGGGGGGCAGCCTGCCAGCCTGGGACTGTTCCCACTGCTGCTGGTCAGGGGCAGCCCGGGACCACTGCTACCGCTGTTGGGGGGAGGAGGCAGCCTGGCCGGTCTGGGACTGCCGCCGCGGCTGCTGGCAGGGGGCGGCCTGGGACCACCATTGTTGCGGGGAGGGGGGCCACTGCAGCTGGCCCCAGGGCCACCCAAGCTGCTCAGGCAGCCCTGGCGTCAGTCGCCGGGAGCATCTGAGCTGCTTGGGCAGCCCTGGGGTCAGTCTCACCTGCTGGCTACAGAAGCCATGGAGGTCCCGGAAAGTCACAGAATCCGTCACTTTCGTGATCTCTGTGACAGAGTCGCAGCCTTACCTGTAATACAAACGCAGGGTACTATACAGCTCTCATTGAAGCTAAAGGAAGTTTTGCAGGGGGCCTCAATGGTTGTAGGCTCAGGCCCAAGGTTATTTTTAGTGCATTTCTTAAAACTATTATTTGTGCTGCTCTTATATCCTCTCACATGCTAGTCACTTCTACTTAATGTCAGCTAAGGAAGACTATTGTTCTAAGATACATAGCATGGCCCAGTGGAGAATACACCACACTGGGAGTCTAGAGACCTTGGTTCTGTTTCCACCTGTCTCACTGACTTGCTGTGGGACTGTGATGGGTTGGGGGAGGGATATCTCAGTGGTTTGAGCATTGGCCTACTAAACCCAGGGTTGTAAGTTCAGTCCTTGAGGGGGCCACTTAGGGATCTGGGGCAAAATCAGTTCATGGTCCTGCTAGTGAAGGCAGGGGGCTGGACTTGATGACCTTTCAGGGTCCCTTCCAGTTCTATAAGATAGGTATATCTCCATATATTATTATATTTTATTATCACAGAAACCCCTTTGGGGCTGCCAACTGATGTGCCAAGATTACTCCTGCCCCTGCCTTCTCTGCCAGCTTGGGACTCCAGAACCCTGCCTGGTTGTGCCAGACACGCTTGCCAGCTACAAACGCAGACCCAGGTCTGAATCACACCCCACAAACTGCAGGCTTAACTGAAAGCAGCTTAAGAAGTGTTCCTGTCTCTAACACTCAGATACCCAACTCCCACTAGGGTCCAAACCTCAAGTAAATCCGTTTTACCCTGTATAAAGCTTATACAGGGTAAACTCATAAATTGTTCGCCCTCTATAACACTGATAGCGAGATATGCACAGCTGTTTGCCCCCACCCCTTCCTCCCAGGTATTAATACATACTCTGGGTTAATTAATAAGTAAAAAGTGATTTTATTAAATACAAAAAGTAGGATTTAAGTGGTTCCAAGTGATAACAGACAGAACAAAGTGAATTACCAAGGAAAATAAAATAAAACACGCAAGCCTATGCCTAATACAGTAAGAAGCTGAATACAGATAAAATCTCACCCTCAGAGATGTTCCAATAAGCCTCTTTTACAGACTAGTCTAGGTCCAGCAGTCACTCACACCCCCTGTAGTTACTGTCCTTTGTCCCAGTTTCTTTCAGGTACCCTTTGGGGTGGAGAGGCTATCTCTTGAGCCAGCTGAAGATGAAATGGAGGGGTCTCCCAGGGGTTTAAATAGACTTTCTCTTGTGGGTGGACACCCCTCCCTCCCTCTGTGTAGAATCCTAGCTACAAGATGGAGTTTTGGAGTCACATGGGCAAGTCACATGACCATGCATGACTCAGAACTTACAGGTAGCAGCCATTCCTCACATGCTACCTTGAACTTCCTCAAGTAGACTTCTTATGTGGATTGGAGCCTTCCAAGATCCATTGTCCATTAAGTGTTTCTTGACCGGGCACTTTACTTGCAAATTCCTTTCTAAAGAAGCTGCCCAAATGCCTTACTAAGGTTACTTAAAATCAAACAAGTACACAGCCAATATTCATAACTTTGAATACAAAAATGATACATGCATACAAATAGGATGAACATATTTAGTAGATCATAACCTTTACAGAGATATGTT